TCCCAAAGGCGCCGAGGATATACGTAATAACGTAGAGGAGATCGTTCGGGTAAATTTCCGAAAGCCATTCGCGCCTGATAATTGCTGCTAAATCTGACGTCAGATTTATCGCGATTAGTGTCGCATTACTTTCCCAGATTTATCTGCGCACTGTGATTATATGTTTATGTGATAACGCAACTGAATGTCTATTCTAACCTAACCTAACCTAACCTAACCTAACCTAACGCGCACTGCAATATAGAGTGCCGCTTTATCTTCCGACTTAGAATCCAGTAAAAAACAGCGTCGAATGTAGATAAATAGATGTACTATCACAGAGACTTCTCTGGAGAAATAGTGTAAAATTATCAGCGACACACGACGTTGTCGAAACTTTTTGACGTTAAACCTCTGTGTCGGTGAAAATTGACTCGAGGACATTTCACCAGAGACCGTTCGAAGTTCTAAAGCAGTTTGGTGAAATCATTTTCGCGGCGATAGGCGCGTTCGGATGGCTTCCGAAGGCACAGCCGATCGTTCAAGCGCGTCATGTCGGACAAACACCAGCCACGATCCGACGAAGAACTGGGACGCCATCTTTTTGTGCTTTTTGTACATGCAAATTTATGCCGCCGTTAAGTGTACGCTGCTCCGTCTTAACGTGTTTCGCAGAAAATCCACGAGCGCGCGTATATAAAGATCTTTCCGCGCAACTTCACGTGTATATTTTAAAAGCTTCTAAATTCAGTCGCAAAGGTGCAGCAAAGTGTTCTCGGAAATCTCCCTCACCCGCGAAAACGCGCTGTCGCTCTGTGTGTGTGTGTGTGTATCATAAGCCGCGGAAATTTTGCGTCAGGCAAATGTCTACCAGGCCAATTGACAGTGCTGCTTCAGCTGTCAGTGCCGATTGTTGTCGTTGAGTCACGAGTGACGACGTTTAGCGATTTACATGAGATTACGCAGTCGCTTTTTTCGCCCATTGTTTCGGTAGTCTTGCGGTCACATTTTCCATGACCGTTTTTTACTCTTTCATCTTGTTTCATTACGCGTCGAGTCGACGAAGCACGGACGTGCTACGACGCGAAGTGCGCGATCGGCGCATTCATCACAATTCTCTATCGGGTGTGATAAAAATATTTCGTCGGCATCGTGTTTTCTCCGGTCGAATCTAGAGTGAGGCAGCATTATGCGGGAATACCCGAGGCGGCGCCAAGATGGCGATGATGATGATCCTTTTGACTTTAACGAACGCTTGACAAATTTACGAAAGCAAAGGAGGCACCCGAGTGAAAATTTAAGTCGGCTTTAAGTTCGTAATCTTTGTCGTTCTTTGGCAAATAGCTTGAGTAGCTTGAGTGCTGGAAATTTCGACTCGGGAACATCTCCTCGAGCACATTTCTCGAGCCTCAGGAGCGGACCGATTAAAAAATCAGAGGAGATTAGTTTAACGCTGCGAAGCGACGACGCAAATATGACATCTCGGCCGATCGTACGACGAGATCTCTCTTTCGCTGCCCGCGGAATCTTGCGATGAATATTTATTCACGATAATTTTATCATTTGTCATCGAACAAGAAACATCAAGATAGAAAAATTGAACGTATCTAAACGTACATACACGTGTCAGTCCTGAAAAGGTTAACTCGTTTGCATGAGCGGCGCATGCGTCCGCCTGTTTCGCAGTCACTTACCGGAGTGCGCGGAAGGACTCTTCAAGTCTTTCGGCTTTCACCGAAAATGGATTGATTCACAAAACTCACGCGCCCTTGACTCGCTTTTTATTACGTTTAACTAAATTGATCTAAAGAAAACAAAAAAATTGAGCGATACATATACAGGCATATCTCCCCGATTCCCCGAAGAGAGCGAAACTACACTCTCATTCTGCGCGTTTCCAAGGAGCGAGGACGACCTCGGGCGAATTTCGGGGCGATTTAACCGCCGTCGAGAGCCCCAGTTTTCCAATTTCGCACGTCCGCGAGGCGAGTCGTTTTACGGAGCCGATCGAGAGCGTGCGCGATCGAGAGAGACGTTTTCCTTCACCGACGCCATATTGCTTCGCGCTGATAGTCTAACGCGAGTTTACGGCGACAGTCGCTCGTCCGTAAGGTAACACTTTCGTCTTTATGAATACAGAGACGAAATGAAACCGTCGCGGCACGAGACTCGCCGCGTTTTACAATCGAATCGACCGTAAATCCCTCGATCTCGTCGCGAAGGACAACGATGACGCGCGCGAGCGCGTATACCGCTGCGCTGATGACGCTCCTCACAATTACATTGTGGTCATTGGCAGAGCGCGCTTAATTACGTCAGCCGTTGAACGTGTGTCGAAAGCCGAGGCGGTTTCCATAGTGTGAGAAATTCGTACTCCCCGACGGGGGGGGGAGGGGAGGGGGTCTTGCGTAACGACGCGCGGCGCGCCAAAGGCAGCTGGCCATTTTGCCTTTTTCTTCTCTTTCGGCTACGTTTCGTCAATACAACGCGGGAGAAAGTGTTGCCGCCGCTCGATCCCTTCATTAGCGTCGCATACGTCCCACTGTGTGTGTCTCTGGGCAAACTTTGGCCCCTCTGTGGGCCACTAGCGCGAAAAAACGGCTAATTCGCGCGCTCCCTCCCCCTTTCATACGCAGCTTCGGTGAATCCTTAGGGTTCCCGGCGGCGGCCATATTGGATGGTGACGTCACACAGGCGAGAAATGACGCGCTGAGGATTCTGCGTGCCACATCTCAACAGAAAGGTACTTGTGTGGGAAAGAATACTTGAGAGCATTGTGTTCGGAGCGTGTCTCCCTTGATAATCAATTAACAACCATCGAATGTAATATGAGGCTTAGCCGCGTGCGCATGCGCAATCTCTCTCTCTCTCTCTCGTTCCGCTTCACCGTCAGGGTAATTATTTTTGTAATATGTGCACACACACACACACACACACACACACACATTGTGATGTTGGCGATGATAATCTTTTGTGCATATTACTATTATCATTTTTTTTCGTCAGAATAGTAAAATAATAATAGCTTTCCAGCGCCAAAGATAATTCGCTTTTGTCTATTTTGAACGGATGCGGATATTTGAAAGATGCTGCATCAATACTCTTTTTTTGAGTACTATCTGACATACGGAGATACCCGGGTATTTTTTAAATTATCCGGATTTCCGAGTGTCTCCGAGTATTCAATTGATTATTTTATTACTAAATGAATACATTATATTTTGGAATATTTATTTATTCATTTGCATTTATGTTTATTAATAAGGTTTGCATAAAATAGATATCTTACGGGAGTTAGACTTGGTTTAATTTTTTAACTAGAATATGCTAAAAAAACTATAAAATAACTACACAAAGTACTCATTTACCTCGCAGATGGACGAGAAGGATATATTTGTATAAAAACGAACATATGGTGCTATTTAAAAATTTCTTCTCGTTCCCGGATAGTTCCAGGTAGAACTCGCAAGCCTGAGTCTCTTTCCTCAAATACTCCCGAATACCCACAGGTATAAAAATATCAACACAAAGACATCAGAACACAAAAAGTGCCATGTATCCAACATCCACGTCAAATTGTGTCCGGGTCGTTAAATCGAAAGGTCTATTTCTCGGCTCGACTTTTCATTTGCGTCGAGGTAAGATGCCAAGCTTACTCGCTCCCGAATGAAGCAAGCTTCGAAGATAATAGAAACGCCGCTAATATGCGTAACGCTAGCGCAGCTGGAAACAGAACATATTTTCAGCACCGGCATACGCTAGGCAGGTCTTCATTGTTCGGGAGCTTTCTCCGATGCAAAAGTAAAGAATATTCGAGGCAGCTCAGCAGCTGCTAAGTCGTCCTCGCTGCGCCATTTGTTGAAGTAGTCTCATAGCAGCTGCATCGATGGAAAGGTGAGCAACTCTACGTCGATGGTGCTGATGAAATTGGCCACCTCTTCCTGTCAGTGACTTCAGTGTGTCCTGTCAGTGTGCTCTCTTCGTGTACTTCCGCGTGTAATCTCCACGATCGCGCCCGCGCACGTTCACGCGTCTGTCGCGGTCTCCCGCGTGTAACAGATCAGGACTCGGTCCTGCTGGGGTTAAGGCCGAGCCTGCGGCTCGACGATAGGTCTTCCGTGAAGGCTAAATATCGCCGGCGACGAGCGGCGACCGGCCGATCGCGTTGCGAAATCGTCGCGAGCGTGTCGCGCGACCCGCCATCACGATTGATCGAAATCGACCAGTCGACCGACCGCATTTGAATTTCCACGGCGACCTCTCCGCGATGTGTGTGTGTGTGTGTGTGCGTGTGCGTACGTGTTTATGTGTGTACGCGATGGCAGGCACACAGCTAGCTGTGCGGAGGCCGATTTTTCTCGCCGCCGCCGACTACCGGCTCGTTCCGGCAAAGAAATGTCACGGCTGCGCAAATCTTGACCGACTTGATATCTCGCGCGTTACGTCAGCGTTCGCGACTGCGTGTGCATGTGGCAAACATTCTGTCGGGTCGCGGGAACCTTTCTAAAGGTGACTGCACACCGAGCGGACCAGCGCGCATCGCGTCGCTCGTCCGTTTCCTCTCTCGACTCGGCCAGATGAGTGTTCGAATGTTCTCGTTCTCGTTCGCCCGTAAGATGTACACTCTAACCTTAATTCGTATTCGCGCGCGTGCGCATGCGCGCGCGATCGACGACTTCGACGTCGATCGTGAGGGCCATCACATGTAGAAAAATTTTAACCGTAATCGTAAGGTTGTAAGAAAACTGACCGATCACAGTCGATCCTTTCTCTTGTGACATTATAATAATCGACTGTGATTGGTCAGTTTTCTTACAACCTTACGGTTACGGTTAAAATTTTTCTACGTGTGATGGCCCTGAGAGACAATTCGGAAGCACCGAGGGGGTGGGATTGTCCGCGCGAGGGAGTAAGATTCTCCGAATTCTTCATCTTCCCCAACTTGCGTGCACGTTACGCACTTTCGTGCGTTGATCTGCTCTTCTTAAACGTTTTTTTCTTTTTTCTCATGGGATTTACAGGTCTGGCGATAACACAGTGAGCCACGATGGAGGACATCATCGCGCGGGACCCGTCGCGTCCTTGGCGCAATCGGAGTCCGCTGCCGCCGGAAAGCCAGCGGAAGAGTCCTCGTCGATATTCGAGATGAGCCTGCCTGTCACTACCTTCAGGCTGGAGGAGATGGTTTATAGGGGAGAAGGAAACGCCAATATCGTGATCGCGCTGCCGCAGGTGAGTGTTCTGAGCACGCTGAGGTAAAGAGAAACGTCGTTGATGGCCCCCGACGAGGTTATGGTCATTTTCTGCGCCAACCATCTTGTCTCGCTGCTCTAAGAGGAAAGATGGCAGCGGCGATATGCGTATAATTAGGCTCGATTATCGTTAATAGCCACTACAGAGCAGCATCCGCAAAAAATGCTACCATTCCAAGTCACAACACGATTATACTCGCGGATACCGATCGGCCGTACTTTGTTTTCTCGGCGCGTTCGGCGCCGGTCGGAGTGCTCCGAACGGCGTTTGTCACACGGACGGAGGTGTAAACGTGCCGACATGTTGTTCCAATTAAAGGCGTTCCGCACATTTGCACGCTTCTGAGCGGACTAGTTCCTTAGGAAGTTTCGCAAGCGTGTGTGTGTGAGCGGAGTAGCGAAGAAAAACGAAGAGGCGTCTTATCGCGCTTAGTGCCCTCCGCGAAATTGCCGAGCGCTGTCTATATCGCGAGTAGCGGAGTACGCGAATGAATAAAAAGTCTGCAAAAGGTAAAACCTAAGACGCGCAAAAAAAGTACAAAGTGGCCGCGAGCTCTCAGCAATGTAGATATGCGCGTAATAACGGATTCGTCAAGTTCCCTTTTAACTGACAGGTGCACGCGCGTCCTCTCTCTCTCTCTCTCTCTCTCTCTTCTCTCTCTCTCTCTCTCTCTCTCTCTCTCTCTCTCTGTTTCACACACTTTTTCCTTACACACCGTTCGCGACTCTTCTTTTCCACTTCTCATGCCCCCTTGTAGATTTTTACATTTTCGCATAATTTCTCTTGTACCTGTTCATTTCACTTTCCTTCTCTCCCCTTCATTACATTAAAATTTATTTTTATTTTACATTTATTTTTTCTGCGCATCGTGCGTTCCTTCGTACGTTTATCTCGACGTTTTTTCTCACGTTTTACGTTTTTTAGTTTCTTATTATTTTTTATCTTACACCGTGTGTCTGTACATTTTACCTTTTCTCTGCTTCAATAACATTTTTATTTTCATAATAATTCTTTTCTCTCTCTCGGTATATTCGCATCCTCATATTTATTTTAACACTTTTCGCTTTTTATTTTCTAATTGTTTGTTACTTGTCTCCTATCTCGTCGTGTATCTATCCATCTTTACTTCTCTTCCACCTCAATATTCATATATTTCTTTTCACTTTTATTTTTATATTTATTTCCCCTTGTGTTTATATCTCGATGCTTTTCCTCACACGCGAGTAATCTACATTCTTAGGAGATAAACTTTAGAGTGTTAATAAATGCTCTTATCTATCTCCGTCTCTCTCGACGAGACCGATGCAGAACTCAAAGTATCCAAAGAAAAACACGGGCTTCTCTCTCGCAGTGGATGACTCCTGCGCGCAGATTCTCTCCCGCGTCGCGTCTGCTCCTGTAGGAGGAAAGAAACGGCGCGATAAGATGCGTCTTATTCCTCGTCCAACGTTCCGCGTCATTTGTCGTCATTGGCGCTTCCTTCTCGGGCCGAGATAGACGGGCGATTACAATGCTGTAGGTATACACACGATGCATAATGGAGATGCAAGTCGCCGAGCGGGAGACGGAAGGAGGCGTTCCACGAGGCTCGCGATAATCGATCGTACGAGCCGTTCTCTCTCTCTCTCTCTCTCTCTCTCTCTCTCTCTCTCTCTCTCTCTCTCTCTCTCTCTCTCTCTCTCTCTCGTCAACAGATAAGGACATGCGCGATTTCTTACGTTTTCGCGGGCGAAGTCGCGGCGAAGTTATCGTCACGTGATAACGATTTTGCAAGAGCCGCGGCCTTGAGCACAATTTCAGGAAAAACAAACGCGCGGACGCACGCATTTTTCCCGTCCTCGCCGACGTGATGCAATTGATGTGCCGCGCAGAAACGTCGATATCGACGTCGTTTGCCTTGCCTCCGCGTCCGCGACACGTTATCCCGTAGCGGAAAAATCCATTTCAGGCTCGGTAATGAAGGCGTACGTGGACGACGGGCAGAAACGCCGCGGACGTAAAGCACAACCTGCGCACGCGACAGAGAGAGAGAGAGAGAGAGAGAGAGAGAGAGAGAGAGAGACGTCTGCTTCGCTTTTCGGTTCTCGCGAGAATTTCACTCTCGTATCTCGCGATCGACGAAATCTGACAAGTCCGTAATTAATTGACAGAAGAGCGCGTTACGATAATAATACTCGAGACAGTCCCTCCCCCCCTCTCTCTCTCTCTCTCTCTCTCTTTCTCGGTCCGTCTTTGCGACAAGTCGCCCAAGTCGGACGACTCGGTGGACGCAGCGTATTCTTTCGGGACACGCAGATAAACGAGCCGCATAAATAATTTCGCTTAATTGCCCATCGCGACGTCCTCTCGCGACGGCGGTCCCGTCGCTCTCTTATCTCCGTTGCTTATTTATGCGGAGCGCGTCGCATCAGCGTCCCTCCTTCCCTCCTCTCGTCGCGCGCGTTGCACCGCAGGAAATGAATTTTTCCACTTTGCGCGTCCTCCTCCTCAGGTGCGCGTCGCCCGACAGAGAGAGACAGAGAGAGACAGAGAGACAGAGAGAGACAGAGAGAGAGAGACAGAGAGAGAGAGAGAGAGAGAGAGAGGGAGGGAGGGAGGGAGAGATCGATACACGGTCGTCGTCGTCGGATCACGATACGCCCGATGGTTCCGCCCGGCGTGCATCGCGCGCGCGGTCGAGCTTTATCGCGGATCGATGATAATTGCGGGCCGAGCGTGTGCGTACGCTGCGCCCAACTTCTGCGACCCGGACTGGGCCTCGACTCGACCGGGTCTGGTCCGGATTACCGTTAGCCGCCGTCACCGTCGCCGTCGCCGTCGCCGTCGCCGCGGTAGAGGTGCACGCGCGCGCGTGTGCGGCGGCGTCTCATGAAAAATGATAATCGCACGATATCGGAAGCGCCACAGGCGCGACTTGTTGGAAAATAAAAGACGTGGCGCGACGTGACCCGCGCGTGACGGGTCACCGCGAATATAGATTACGACTCGTGCGTTCGTTCCTCGGGCGGCTCTCGTTTCCGCGCGTTCGCACCGTGTCGAGCCGGTTTTTGTCCTGAGCCTCTGCCGAAAAATCGCTATCGAAAACTTTGGTTTTTTTCAGTCGAAGGTTGGTAGGGGACTTAAGGGGACCGGAGGGTCAGATTACTGAAAAATTGTGCTTGTTCTGTGACAAAAATTTGGTGACGAATTGAACAACTGTGCAAGAATGAAAATTTTTGATATATTTATGTAACGTATGAAGAGTAGAGACGTTTTGTTTATTAGCAAGTATTCATATAAATGTACGTCCACTTGAATTTTAAATGCGTTTCTCTCGAAATTTTATTGTGCGACTTTTTGCAGTGATCTCTCCGAAACTGAGCTTCGTATCGATTTGAAATTTTAAAGCAATAATATTTGTTCATCTGGCTCTCAGGTGAATCATGGACAACTCCGAATATTTCATTTCGAAGTATTAATTCTTTTATTGTAAAAGAACTGAAAAATTTGAATTTTTTCCTAATAATAGCTGCCATTTTGTTAATTTTGTTCGATTTTTTTTTATAGAGCTTCACCGGATAATGACAAGTTTCCTTAAGATTTCTAGCTAAAATTCGCTCCGATCGGGGACCATCGAGAGCCGAGATATTACTGCAAAAACGACAACTTGAAGAAAAAAAGGAGATAGATATTTCAGCTATATATATCGTATATTTATATGAGTATTTGTTAATAAACAAAATTTTTCTACTCTTCACATGTTGTATAAATGTACCTAAAATTTTCATTCTTGCTCATTCTTTCTCTCAAAATTTATTCAGTTCATCGCAAAATATTATCAAAAACAAGCACGATTTTTCAGCAATCTGACTCTCCAGTCCTCTTAAGGGGGGGATTACATACGGAAGGTCGTTTACAAGACTATTTTTACGAATTTTTTTAACAGAAACGGTTGGATCAATGGACTTGAAATTTTCACAATATATTTATTAATGTTCAAAGTATAAAATAAATTTTATTGAATCACAAAAGCCGATCCGATTTGTTAATATAGATAAGAATGCAGTCATTCGTTTGCTGTCGACATAATTCCGGGCCTTTCACTACTTTGAAACTAAAAAATAAGAAAGATTTTTGAAATATACGGTTGCCAGTTATAGCCCGTACCAAAATGAAGGCAATGAGACCAAGTTTGGAAAAACAATGACTATACAAAAAAAAATATCGAAAGTGAAACTTTTTTCAACTTGTCATTATGTTTAAAAAAAAAATGAATAAAATAAAATATAACTGTGTTTGAGGTAGGGACGAAAACTACATGTCTACCGTATATTGTGTAAAAATTTCCAGTTATTCGATTCAGCAGCTTTTGCGTAATCGTGTCGACAATTTAAGAAAATGGAGTTTCCAGATAAACGCATTTAAAGTTTTATATGTACTTTCCCCATAGATAGTAACAAATTTATTTTATACTTTGAACATTAATGAATACACATGAGAATTTCAAGTCCATTGATTCTATCGTTTCTATTAAAAAAATTCGTAAAAATAGTTTTGGAAACTGCCTGCTCCGCATGTAATTCCCCCCTTCGCTCTTCATATCCCGCGAACGGTATTTAAACGTATCGCTCTATGTAAACCTTGAGTGTTATTGAACTTTTTTTCTCTGTCTCATTCCTCATTCCTGTCGGTACTTACAAGTACTATCTTAAAATTTAATCATTAAAATTTGATTAATTAAATTTTATTAGATTAGATTAGTTAAATTTTCGTAATAATTTTTTTTTCGCTATTCCTTACGTTTATAATATGCCAAAAGCTATTTGGTTACACAAAAGTTTCATAAGATGTTATATAAATTAGTTCAGGATATAAAGAGTTAAAATAACTCAGGATAAAAATAACTTTAGGATATAAAAAGTTAAAATAACTTGGGTACGTTCCGTAATCGATCAGCTGATCAATCATCAAGATGATAAGTAATAAAAAATCTGTCCATT